CATTGTTTTTTTAATGTGTTGATCCGCTCCGCTCAATTTGGAGTGAAAAAATAGACTTACAGGCTGTTTTCTATTCTTTACAGCAAGCTCAAGGTTCATACTTAGACATTATATGAATGATGAAACAAAGTTGTAAATACTCATTACTTAGTGGAATCATATTTTTTAAAAGCACATCTTCGTACACAAAGCATTCGTAAATCCCCATTAGTGGTATTTATGTTCCTTCATCAAAATTCCTCATTTGCAGCCAAGTAAATATCTTGGGCTTAGATCTTCCTCCTACATGTAATGGAATCACAGCGCTGTCACAGACATCACAGCCATTTTTGTAAAATATGATGTTAAGGAAGACTGAGTTCATTGTACTATACATATGTAAATGCCTCCTTTTCAATAGTCACAGGGGAAAGAAGGTGCCAGAAAGAATTCCCAACCAGCGTACATGCTAATTGTCACCACCTTTCATGGGATAGAGAAGTGCATTCATACAAAGAAAAGCATTAAGAATCAAGGAGGCTGCACAGGGAAAGTGAGGGCATTTGAGTGAGATTTAAGGAAGTCACATGGTAAATTATAATTATCTAACCGCAATCTAGAAAATCACCCTCTTTCCTTGTTTGTATCTGTAATGAGGTAATGATGCAGCTCCTCCGGCTTCACACAGCCACTACAGATTTACTGCGGGCTGCGGAAGATCAGACTGCAGCGCAAGTTCGTTGTTACCATCGTACCCTTACAATGATGACCGAGTTTGAATTATACCAGTAGCTATTCTGAACATGTTGTGCCCCTGTAGCTCAAACTCCTTTCAGGTTCAGAAGCACAGGGGACTGGTTATGACAGAGCACAACTGATTGATTGTCGATCATATATGTTTATGTGTTTGTGTGCGTGAAGATACTCTGAGCTTCTCAAGTCCGGCTGCGGATAAGAAATCCACAGTACGACTAAGTGATTGAACTGAAAGTTTTGCAAATAAATTATCTGGACAGAAACATAGCTCACATGGATGCTTCTCTTAAAGAAACTCCACTGGAAACCTCTGTGTGTGCTTGAAGTAGGTGAACTCTGTCTTTGATTGGCATCTGCCCGGATTTGAAACAATTATGCAAAAGTTTTAATTTCCTGTATCAACGCAGGTAACTCACCAAGTGTCCAGCCATATACTGTAATAAAGGGATGCAAATCAATGTCTGATGACTCCTACACAGCATAACTTGAAGGAGATTACTGTTTCCAGTTCCACCTTTCACTTAGGGACTTGACTTGAGTTCTGTCTGCCACCAAGGCATGGCTGTTCACAAGAAGTGAAATGCTGTTTGCTTGTATAATTTCCCACTGTGCAGCCTTTGGTCATTCTGTGCTGCTTCTCTCCTCTGTTGAGGCTGCTAAATGAGTTGGTATTACCTTAATGAAAGCATTGAAAGTGTGGTTAATGCTGCTAGACTCCATACTTAAAAAGATTTTTTGAAGTCAAAGTGAATATCAGTAAAATATTCTCCTGCGGTTCGTGGCTCCAATAACCTGTACAATGACTTAATTGGCATTCTTGTGCAGTGCTTGGATCTTTGCCAGTTAATGACCCATTGCTGCAGTCTGCACAGGCAAATTACCCCTGCTGTCCGGCTCTTCAAGCTGATGGACTTTTGCCCAAGTACTGGCTGCAGGCTCCTATTCTCAGCTGGCACGGACCCCAGCACGACCATAAACATCCCTGAGAGGATCATAATATGATATATTGGACAGATTCTGATATGCCTTGCAGTAATGTACCACCAAGCAATTCTGCTGAAGTCGGTGACTTTGGCAGTGGCATAGCGGAAAGAATAAACCGGTCCCTACAATGTTGCTTTCTCAAGTAATGAAGAACTTGCAGGCTGTTAACTAATCTGTGTCCCTTTAGATGATGCAAGTTTTTGTGAACCCTTTGTCAAACATTCAAAATAGTTTTTCGTTGTTACGCTGTTTTTAAATGGTTGCATTGTCTCTTTCCTCTACAGGATTTTCCATTCTTCAGGCGATTATGGAAGCAGCGGTACAGAACAACTGGCAAGTGACAGCCAGATCTGTAGGAAGCATAAAGGATGTTCAAGAGTTCAGAAGAATTATAGAGGAGATGGACAGACGTCAAGAAAAAAGATACTTAATTGACTGTGAAGTAGACAGAATCAACACCATTTTGGAACAGGTATATGCTTTTTAGAAATTGTGATGTCTCTGTGAGAGACATCGTTAATGTTTCCAGAACTGTCTGTTTCTAGAAATTAATTAAATATCCATTGAGATGCTAGTCCCATCAACTGGACAGGTACCTAGTAAAATTAAAATGCCTCAGTGATGCTTATAGCTGGTGGCAGCACTTACATGTAACCTACCAGGAAATGTCTCTCTGATTTTTTTTTTTCCCCAAATGTTAATAATGAATTATTTTTAAGTAAGCTAAGAACCTAAAACCTCGTCTGCCAGAGTAACATTACTGGCATCAGGGCTACTTACAGGGATTGCAAGACAGGTGCAGTTTAAGTGGAACATGAAACAAGAAATAAAAAGCCAGTGAAGGAGCTTTGAATCATCCTAAAGAATTTCCAAATGGAAATATTGCTGATGAAAAATTCAGCTGAGTACACGGCTCATTCCCATGTTTTGGTACATAATACCCTTCCTTCTGCACAGCCAGTGCTGTTGACAGGCTTAAATTGTGGGTGATAAGAGTCCAAACACCTTTATTGGGGAAGATGCACTTTTGGGTGCTGCTATTGCATGGCCTTCCCAGTGTTTGCTTTGCCCCAGAGGAATGGCCATATCCCCCAGCCATATCCCAGGGTGCTACCCAAGCTGTGCTGTGCAGTGTGCTTGAAGAGGTGTAGTAACAGATACACATCGCAGGGAGCGGAAGCAGGACAGGTCCCTGATGCCTGGGCTCACAGCAAAGCTGGGGTTGGTATGGAACCAAATCCGTGCTGCTTGTTTATTCATAGGCATGTGGGAATTCACTTACCTTAAGACAGAAAAACCCTCTGATAATTGCCACTTCTTAAATTTAACTGTGGGTTAATGTGTGGAATAGATCAAAACTAACATTTACATTTCAAGAAGCATTAGCATATCTCTTAGAAATGTTGTATTGTAAACTAGTATCAAACTGACCTCACTGCCATAAACCCCAGGAAACACAAAACCTACGTGCACTGAGTTCCTTTGCAAAATACTCCCTTCCTGTCAAGTCTGGAGGTGTATCACTGAGGGCCAGTCTGCAGGGACTGCATCGCTGTGGTCATGGCCAGGTCCCATAGCTGCTGGTTACAGAGGGCAACGGGGAGGAAAGAGGTGCTCAAGAAAACATAGCACAAGCGGATGCAGGTCTGTAACTCTGACAGCTAGTGTGGCTGTGATCCTAATACATAGCATTGCATTTTACTCTGTATTTTTAGTCAATATGGTGAGTGGTCTCTTTAGGGAAATTCATACAGCAAAGTGTAAAAAACTTGTCATTTGTTCATGTTCTTGCAAAAGAGGCAAAACACCATACCCACAGCCCACTCTTCTGAAAAATTATGCAGGAGAGCACTCCCAAGCCAAGCTTAAATAGCTCTTTGGGCCCACTCTCAGCTGGGCAACAGGCCTTTTGTTTGCTCTTTCTGACTCCGTTTACATTTTGTTCTCTCTTATGTTCTTCTTATATTGTGCAAGTGAGAGAAAAAAAATGAAACCATTCCAGTGCCTAAAACGAAAACTAAATACCAAGCAAACCATATAGCAAAAAAATGGTGAACTCTTTTCGTCTGCAAACATTCTAAATTCAAACCTAGTGAAGTTGTAATTTTATTAAATGTTTGATTCAGCTTTCTATCAATGTGATTAGCATCTGTGTAACTAAAGATTTGCCACTAGGGCCTCCAGGTTTCCCCAACTCTACTTTGTACAGTGCTCACACTTTTGCACAATTAGACCCTTTCTGTGGTCATTATTGTACTGTATATAGCCCATCTCTCTACTGTTAAATGACTCTTCTTCTGTATTACGCCTATTGCCCATCTTTTGAACTTTAGTTACACAAAATTGTGACATTTCCATGAAATCTTTGTCCTAAATTATCTCAAATACTTCTAAAAGTTCTTAAAATTTTTTTGCAATTGGATTTTAGGACTGTATCAACTAGTTTTAGCCAATCGGTTGAACACTATCAGTCCATTGTTTTGCAACCAAATCCTGCAGATATTTTCACACATAAATACTATGTATAATATGTAGCCCCATTGATGTAATATGACTATTTTTCTTATTTTACTGAGGGTAATTCATGAGCAAAATAGTTTGAATTTGCAGTATCAAAAGTGGATTTAGAACTTCTTGTTTAGGAAACCAAGCTAGGTAGTAAAGCAAACTAAATGTATCTTCTGAGATAAACACTGTACTACTGATCATGTCTTTTTAGCAGTCTTACTGCTGCACTTTTTTATGAGTATTGTCCTATTTATTTTACTGGGACCATTCACTTGACAAAGAATTGCCCAAGCAGATCCCAGGCTGGTGCCTCTAATGCTAAAAATATCTTCTGGCAACAATTTCAAGAGGTTTTTTTATCCGATGCTGAAAAGCAAGGACTTAAGTTTCTGCAGGGAAAGTCAGTAATGGTGGACCCCAGGTTGATAGCTGAACAATTGCTGAGTTCAGGCTTTTCCATCCATCTCCTCTGCTTACCTTGTTATCTTCTCATAAAGTAGTTTAAAAACTTCACAAGTATGTGTGGTACTTAAATCTAGCCAGCCAGTTTGCTCAAGGGAGTGGTGAGTTGTCTTCTTTATAGCCAACTGTGTTTGCTGATAGCATACCATTGAGGGGAGAGATAACTCTGGATTTGCATATTTCAAATCTAGTGCTTTACTGCAGTTTAGAAAGTCAAATCGGTGCTTTTGGTGGAGTCTGGAAAGTCTGCTCAGCTAAGAGGCAGTAAGATCTGAGCACGTTAACAGCATGCTGACTGCACAACTGCATGTGGCTTTAAAAATCTTTTTCCCAGTGAGAGCAAAGGGAAGCCAAGACTCTCTACCTGTTACGGCAGAGTAGCGATGGACAAACTCTGTCCCCCAGAGGGTTGACATAGGCTGCTTTTCCATCCCTCTCCCTTTTTTGGCCTTCTCAGGAGCACATCTTCAAAGGTCAACCCTCCCATCACCTGCTGGGAGTGATGCTTCCCTCCAGAGAGGGGGTTTACTGTGGTTGCTGTGGGGATGTGTGGCACCTGCCATTTCAGAATGTGAGCACACATTTCAGTGTGGCACCCTGGATTTCAGGAGCTTAACTAGGACTTACTCAAGAACAAAAGTCATAGGAGAAATAACAGACTGTAAACCACTAAACAGTCTACACACGTGCTGAGTTTGCTATCAGACTTTAGCCTTTAGACTTTAGACTTTCAGCAAGCTTGTCAGTTCTCTGCTCCAGAAACCACATGTCATGGCTTTGTGTTAGTGCTTGGATTAAATAAGAGTGAACTCTTCTCCTGTATTAGGCTGGTCAGTGAGGGCAGTTCTCCTCCTTTGATGCTTTTTTCAACCAGTTCAAACCAGCATATAACTAACTCTCTTCCAAAAGCATAGGCTTATCTAATGACAGTTATGACGTCTGAGCATTTTCTTCAGAGACTTCAGGTCCTGCTGGAATATTCTGTACCTTCCTCCAGTGACATACAGACATGTGAGTTAGTGACCTTGAGTATTCCATATGCCTTTAGCATCTGGCACATCTGTATGTCCCTGTGTTTCCAAGATCTGAAACCTGTTATATGAAGCGTTTCTCTTCTCAGGGCCGGCTGGTACCCAGGAAAGGGTCTCTCCCATCTGTCTTCCCCTCATAGGTAGGGGAAAGAGGACTTCTCAGTTCCTACTCAGCCTGGGTAACCTGTTTTGTGCCAGGTTTCACTCTCCAGCACATCTGGTTTCATTCCCCTTCCAGAGAATCTTGTGATAGGACCCATATTGTTTCCTAGAGGTGGATACCCTGCCCAAATCACCTCTGGCCCTCTCTTCAGCTGCAGAGTAGGGGGAAGCAGGGAGATTAATAGTCATTCTGTAAGTTACCATCTGTTTGTTCACTTGCCCTATAGTTCTATAACCATTGAGCATGTGGATCCATATCCCTCCTTGCACAACAAAACTATGTCCAGTTTAATCATCTAGTGGCCTTTCAAGCATACAGATAGCAGCATTTTTGTCATGCCAAATTCATAAGCTCCCCACACTTCTTGTCCCCTGACACTAAAGTATTCCAGTATTCGTTCACAGATAGATATGAAATTTTGTTCTCATAAACCAAAGAACGTTCTTCTGAAACTAACAGTAAGCTTTAGCCTGTTCAGCTGTGTATTTAGAGACATGTTATTGAGTCAAGAAATACGGTTTTTTTCTTACTTCCAAGATAACAAGCTGTATTTCAGACTAGAGTGGCTTTGTGTCCATTTAGAAGAAAATCTCCTGGGGGAAAATTAGGAGGAAGAAACTGCATTCAGGATCAAAATGGTGAAACTTTACAAAAGACCTGTTTATTCCAGAGACGGCATGTTTTGTCAACAGGACACTATCTCCAAACGTAGTCATAAAGGTTAGGCTCCAAGGCAATATCTGTATTCAGTGGAGGCATCTCACAAAGCAGAAGCAATATTATGGTAGAGAATGCAGTCTCCACATTTTTACAATGACAGTTGCACTGTCAAAGACGACTTGAAGCAAAGCATTCGTAGGATTAAGAAGGGTGATCTGATGGAGTGAACTCTGTCCAGTGCAAGCACTGGCTATGACTTGACCTTTGAGTCTGAAATTTTGAGATTAGGAAGATGGTCTGCAGGTTTTCAGTACAGCCACAGCTGCATCCCTCTGCAGAGCTGTTCAAGTCTCAGAGGAGCGTGCTCACCGCACAAAAGCTTCACGTCTGGGCTGTCATAAGAATAAATACAAAACCGCAGTATTCGGTCGACCAACAGTCACTAAAAACAACAACAATAAAAATGTAAGTGAAAAAAATCAACACTGCTTCATGTAAGCTTCCTGGTTTATGTGTTTATACATTATAAATGGTCTGGTGTGGGTTTGTCTGTATTCTTTGCAGCAATTAAGAATACAAAAACTGCCTATAAACACAGTGGACTGCTTGAAGGAGGAGCAGAGCTATGGGTAGCTTCAGCTTCTGCTT